TCTTTATAAAAGTTCAAGTCTGTAGCATAAGGCTTGTCCAGATGAATGTTGAAGTCGCCAAAGACTAAAAGTGGCCATCCTTTGGGAATGAGGACAGCAGCCCATCCAGCTCTTCTAGGAAGGTACCTAGAATTTGCCCAGGACATTAATAAGAGCATAACTTATACACCTATAACCCCCTCAACCATATGTTGTTGTTTTTTTCCCCCTCACAATCTATACTCCACACCCCATAATGACAAAGCAAAAACATTTTTTTAGATAGATTTGTGATGGATCCAAAAATGTATGGTTTGATACCTGTTGAATGTGCTAAATACTGAATTAAAGGTCTGTGGAATAATCTTTTTTTATATATATATAAATTTGCTAAATTATCACAAATTGGGTTTTTGCTTGGGGTGTAGATTGATGTGAAAAAAAAAAATAATTTTGCATAAAACTACAAAAAATGTTAAAAGATTAAGGCACAATTAATTTTTTAAATGTACTGTAAGGGAAACAGGTCAATTTAGCTCAAAGGGAATCATTCTCTCAACGGAAAATAAAATAAAGTTGGTTCAGGCTTGTGGGGCCAAGTTCTGATTTACGAACATCCTGTGTCTTGGGTCTCTGTGGAATTTGGCTCCTCATGTTTCAACCATGTTTTGACCAAATCTTAGATTGTCTGATTCGGTCTGATACCCTACAGTACTAAGCAGGAATCTCCAACCATGCTCCTGGAGAGCTACCTTCCTGCATACTTCAGTTCCAACCGTAGTCCAACACAAGCCTGTAATTATCAAGTAACCCTGAACACCTTGATTAGCTGATTCAGGTGTGTTTTATTGGGATTGGAGCTGAACTCTGCAGGACAGTAGCTCTCGAGGAGCAGGGTGGAGGCCTCTGTATTATGGACCTTCCTTATGAAGGTCCCCAATTTAAATGTGAGTGTGTATGTGTGTTAACCCTGTGATGAATTGGACATGTCCTGGGTTTCCCTGCCTTTGCTGGAATAGGCTCCAGCGTCCCTTCAAACCCTGCATAGGACAAGTGGTTTGAAGAACGAATGGAAAGATAATTATTTCCAAACCACATCCAAATTAACCTGGTTATTGTGCTGAACACTTAAGGCCAGATTTACTAACATCTTGTGCCAGCACAAACCCTCTCTTGGCATAAAAAAGTACTGTCAGGATTTACTAAAGACACAGTGAAAAATTAGTTATAAAAAAGCATGGACAGGGTTATTTTGTGGCTGACCTTATTGCATATGCATTTGTAAGAGTTTTCCTTTCAGATGCAAAATGTATGGGAGTAGAGTGTTTAAATAAATCATGCAACCTGATAGCTGCTAATTTGTGCTACTTTTGGAAGATTGCATGGGCCATTATGTAAATGATTTGGCTGCATCTGTGGCAATCTGCATTTCAAAAGTGCCATACATTTTTTCTGAAAGACAAAACATGCTCCACGTGGAGCAGCGACGATGTACCTTTGCGGTGTACAAAGCTGACAAAATCCATTCATCATTGTTCATAAGCTACAGAATATAAGGAACACTCAATGTGTTCATCCATGGAGAACTTTAAAAATGTGAAACAGGAACAATATATAGTGTTTGATTAAACACATAATCTGATTTTGACTTACTTGAGACAGGTTAGGCCTTCAAGTGGAGTCAGAAATATGTTTTTTAGCCTATACTAGTTCCAAGCACATGAATGACCAAGCAAAGTCGTATTTACAAATGGGGAAATTGGAAATTCTAGAGGACACCCAAGTTACCGAGTGGGACATGGTGGTGAAGTCTGTTGTTAATAGCTGTATACAGCATGCACAAAATCAACTGTAAAGTTTATCACTCACCTTTCACAGTCTGCTTTATGCAAAATACGTGTTTTGGTTAAACACGTTGATGTTTGCATTTATTTCTGCAAACATCAACGTAATGGACTGTTTTCACATTCCTGGGCTTTTCAGAAGTGATGATCATCATAGATGTGTAAACTGGTGTTGAACAGGAGACTTATAGATTTTTTTATTTGTTTTCCATGACTTTTTTAAAAGAGGAGGAGGAGGAGAGAGAGAGTAGTCAGAAGAGAAAACTTACAAATTTTTGTTAAGATCATATTTATTGATTTTTGAATTATAATATTTAACCCTCTACCGCATGGTGTAGCCATATGGCAACATACTTTTTGTGTTCATTTCCTTGCCACTGTCTCTTTAAGAGAACATTCTCGGTTTTTTTGTTGGAAAGAGAAGACCTTAGTTTAGCCAATGATGTGCTTTAAGTCACATGACATGCATTTTTTTTCCGTGGTGAGATTTCTGACAGACTGCCGTCTCTTGTCGGTAGTTGCTGAAAGCAAACTAAAACGTCAGTAACAAACAAGGACCAGTCCGTGTCATTTCTACAAAAAAATCTAAAACATCACTGTTATGATGTTATGATGACATATTCACCTCTCAAAAAAGTTTTTATAAAATTATTTTTTTGTAAATCATTCAAATGTTTGTGTTGCCAAGCGGCAACACTGTGCAATAGTGGAATGACATTATTACAATAGTTTAGCTAGCTAGCAAGGTCAGCTGCAATTTGTTAAGCTGTAACAATAACAACATTAATACTAGTGAAATAATGTTGATTAGTCGTATGTTAATGGTATTTGTATTATGGATATAATCAAATTGAAATGGCAATTTTACTTTTGATTAAATATGAATACAGGTAACATTACATCAGTGAGCCATATTCTATGGCAAGGTAAAGAAGAAAAGGGCAGAACTTGCTCTTGCTGCAGATGAAAAAACTGCTTTGTGAAATTTCATACATAAAAAAGGTGATCTTTCAAGGATTATTGGCGGGGGGGGTCGATGTGAGGGCTAATGTTCATAGTCTTCCTCTCAAGAGATTGCATAATGCTGAATTTTCATGAACTGCAATGTTTTTGGTTTTATGTCAGTGTTTTATGATACATTATATACAGTATTATATTTGTTTTAACTGTATAAATTTGCAGTTTAAATAATATTCATGAAAAATGTAATGAAATTAAAACAATTATAAATCATTATTCAGCAAAAAAAGAATAGAATAAATAAAAGCACAAGTTGTTGGAAAGTATGTATAAGGTGTCAATTATAAGTAAGTACTGTGTTAAAGCTTATAATAGCACCAATTGAATCAACACAAACAACATTTCTGAGGAAAAATATTAATTATAAGTAAGCTTACACTTATTCTAAGTTTGATCCACTATTGTATGCTGTTGCCGTATGGCAACATATCATAAAGTACCTTAAAATAATATTTTTTTCCAAATTTTTTTTTACAGCACTTCAAGTTAAGCCATTCTTAGAAAAGAAAAAGATTCAAATATTTTTTTCTATAGGTCTATCATAATGCGTGCGGTAGAGGGTTAAAGAATGCTACATTTATGACAGCAATTGGAAATGTATCATATTCTTTGAAAAGGGTCTATCCATTCAGCTCACTATTTTCTTGTAAACATAAACTTATTCAGAATGACATGATTTTCCATGTTTATTAAATGTGATTAGATACTAGATCATTCTAATATTGTATTAAATACTGATTGTTGTTTAAAACAATCTGCTGGCCTTTTTTTTCTCATGTATTCTGTAGATACACTACAGCTTGCACAGAGTTGTACAAAAAACCCAGTGAGTGGCATTTTTGTTGGACCATAAGATTTGCCTTTGATGAGAATGACCTTGTCCGTTCAATCTGATACAGTAGAACGATCACAAATAAACACAATAACACTCTTTACAACTCTGAGGTGAAGAAGGTCATCTCTGACTGCGCAGTATGTCAAACCTTTAAAGCTAATGGGCTTGAGCAGCAGGACATTGTGATAGAGTTTTCTCCTGTCAGTCAAGGTCACAGAGGGCGCAGAACCACCACACTGAATAATTGAACATTGTCGAATGGTCTGATGAATCTTAATTTCTGCTTTGACATGCAGATGGCAGGATCACAATCTGGCACAAACAGCAGGAATCCATTGATCCACTCTGTCTAATGTCTTGGGAATATGTCCCTCTCATAAATTAGGCCTATTAAAAACATTTAAGCCAATGTGAAAATCATGGCATACCTAAGCTTTCACACTGACCATGTGGGTCCTTTCATGGCCACGGTCCACCCATTTTCAAATGGACACTAATTCAGTATGTCACAAATCATCTCGAGCTGTTTCCATAAATATGACGGTCCAGTGGACGGAGCGTTCCCTTGAATTTACGATATCGAGTAAACATGGAGCAGATGGCTACCCGTAGTCACAATGTGATACTCCACAACAAAATCCTAATATTTTCCTAACCAACAATGTCAAGCAATTACCAATTTTGAAAAACAGCCTAGTTTTTATTTCTGCAGCGTCATAGTTGGCAGCACAGCCAATCGTGAAATGTCATTGGTCCAAAATCATGCTTTCTGATGGGTTGTGATTGTGATGTCATGCTGTTTCCGTGTGAACAGCTTGTAGATTGAAACTGATTGCATCATGTAAGGGTTTTTGGATAGTTCTTGTCCTGAATAAGATGTTAACCGAGGAGAAAAAGGGGGAGGGTTGACCTTCTACTTGATTAAGTGGTTATTAATCGCAGTATGAATTTATGTATAATAATTTAAGTTGCTGCGATATTGATTTTAATAATACCTTGTGTTGATTATGTAAGTGCACAAAGAGGATCTTTATATTGAACACACTAACTCATGAGTCAACACACTGCTATCCGATTTATTTTCTCTAACTGAATAATGCTTTATAGTTAGAAAAATTCCAAAATGCATCAGATCATCACATCAGATTATGATGAACTACTGTGTAAACTTGATGGGAACTGACACTTGTTGTGGCCAAAATTGCATATTGAGTATAGGTTCTACATGAAATGAGCAACAAACTTCGCGAATGTGTAAATTTATATTATAAATACTGTATATGAATGTGTGTAGTATGAATGAAATCCTGACAATGTATGGGTGAAGAAAACAAAAGTAAATTATAACTTTTATTGTAATCGGCAAATTTGACAAACGTTCTTTGTGCATTACATTTTATAATTCAGATTTAAGTTAGTACTAAAATACTACATTTTAATTCACACAAAATATACACCCACAACTAAGCAGATAATGTACAGACAGTACTGTGGAAACAGGCTGGAATGTGCAATAAGACTCCAGCTTCCATTGGAAATTGTCCCATTTTATAACCCTTTTCATTTATTGGTTTTCTTGCCAATTTTAACCCTCATGAATTTCGTTTTAGGATATTCTGATACCTAGTCAATGTCATAACATCATATTTTCATAATTTCCTCATTAGTGCAAAATGATATGATCACTGAGGAACCATACATCTGTAATTCCTGTATTTACACTGACTGTAAACTCATCCTAGACATTGTTGAACTAAGAATTTGGAAAGGAATTAAAAAATAATGGAATGGAAAACATAAGAGAATCAACAAATTAAACCTCAATAAAAAAATGGGGTAAATAAAATAAGAACAGTTGCATTTGAGAGGAAAAAACAATTTTAAATCATGCCAGTCTCATTAAGGATTTTTATGATCTAATATAAATATGGAGAAATGCTAACTTTGCCTGCATGTTGCCTATTTGCCTGTAAATATGAAAACAATACTAATTGGTTCATTATAATGGAGTCACTTAACAATTGTTTGATTTGTTATTACAGACTAAACCGTACAAAACAAAAAACATATCCACAAACACGCTTATCGTATGAGTTTAAACCGAAAATAAAGGTATATCTTTTTAGATCCTGATTTAGCCCTCATTGTTTGGTCTGTGTATCATCTTTAAATGACTTCATAAAACTGACTTACGTTTCTATTAGGGATCTCTCAGTCAAGATAAGTTATTTATTACAGGCAAAACAAAAACCTGATTAAGTCTGTCAGCAGCAACAACTGCTACATCATCTGTGGAACTATCAAGTTTTTATTCACTGAGCTGATTAGATCTTGGATTATGATACTATTAAAGTGCTTATTATTTAATTGTAACTGGTCTCGCATCAAGATGAAAGATTAGACATTTCTGAATGTATAAGTGCAATGTTCTGAAGGGACTCACACCTTCTGAAAAGAGTAGACAAAGACTAAGTGATGCTTTATTCTGTTGAGATAACGTCTGAGGGGATTTGAGGAGCTGATAGTCACAGCTACTGAAGTTATTAAATTGTCTGAACTTCTTAAATCCTGCCATTCAAGTCATTGTCTTCACCCACATTTATTAAAGTGCTCAGAGACTGCTACTGTTTACTTAATCAGAAGCATCTGAATTCAAACCTCCAGCTAAAATTAAAACCTCAGAAGAATATTTGCTCCCACACATTATATTTAGTTAGTTTAGAAAATGGAGTTTATCAGCTGTGAACGTACGAGTCTTAGTGCAGTTAGAAAGAAAATGTCTCCTTAGGTTGGTTGAAATGTCAAAACAAATCCATAGAAACATTAAATGTTTCTGAATGAAACATGAAAATGAAGCGAAAGCCAAATGGATGGAGAGATGGGAAGCCCACGTTTCGGCGTGTAACGGTCTCAGCTGCTTTCATCCACCAGCTTGGCCCCGTTGATACCACGGTACGTGACCCTGCTGGGTCGCACCAGAACCCCATGGCCAGGTCGACAACTGAAGTAGCGTCGGCTGCCCACAGAACCATCGTTTTTTCCTTTCGGGTTTCGCAGCTCGAGGCCCAGCCAGAGGCCAGGGGCAAAGTCAGCTGTGCCAATGTAGCGGATGGTGCCCATCTCATTGGCACTAATTAGCAAGACCTGCATGCCCAGGTGGAGTTTGACAGTGCCATCTGAGCCAGAGGAACTGGTGGTGCCACCCACTCGGTTAGGCCCTGGGGCAGCGCTGCTGTTTGCCCTTGATGTACCCCAGCCAGCGCTGACTGTGCTCCAGCGTCGCCGCAAATTACTGGAACGGTTCCTGAGAGGCAACAACAGAAGACAAAGAGAATTTGAGAACGGGATACAAGGAACTAATTAATGCTACTGATGCACCAAAATTCTAGCAATTGAAAATATTCGTCCGGAAATGACTTTTCGCCTGTTTCGGAGGGCTGAAATCACTGACTGAAATGTGACATTCAATTAGTGCTTCTCTGTTGCCGTGTTTAGACTGTGTCTGTGTCCATGGATACGTAAACTAATTAGCTGTGTGAATGCTAGAACTGGGCTAAAAATATAGATTTCTTGTTTTTCATTTTCATTTCATTTAATTTTAAGCTGCCTAAGCTGTTTGCAGTAGATGCATACAAACTTTACTTAAAATGTGTAGCGTGCCATCCAATAATAGCAACAAGCTTTGTGGTTTGTTACTTTTCAAACACAATCAGAGCTTTAAAATTCTGTTTATTTTATGATAGTACTGGGCAACGATTAATCGCATCCAAAATAAAAGTTTTTGTGTATATAATGTGTGCTGTGTATATTTATTATGTATATATAAATACACACACATACATATATGTGTGTGTACTGTGTATATTTATTATGTATATATATATAGATACACTCACATACAGCATATATTTTGGTAATATTTACATGCATATACATTTATATATTTATATTCTTATTATATGACCAAGATGGCGGCGCGTACACATCGCGAGGCTCAGCGTCTCTCCAGTTTTTGCAATTTTGTAGTATTTTTCCTGCTCATCTCGGGCCTGTTCGCACTGAACAGCTTTGCTTTAACATCTTACACCCGACAGGAGCTTTTGGATATTGGTGTGCACTTTTCCAACAGTTTTATCACCAATCCTCGACTCATCCCTGAGATCTCCAGACCACCCGAGGCTACGCACTCTACCCGGCCGGGCGGAAGTGCTCCCAGGCGGCGTCGTGATCGTAAACAAAGGCGGGGTAAGCGCGGTGGGCTAAGAACTAAGCTAAAGCTAACACCGCTCCGGCTCTCTTTACCCAGCATTTTCCTCGCTAATGTGCGGTCATTGGTGAACAAAATGGATGAGATACGACTTCGCATCACCCACAGTAAGAGACTTTTGGATTGCAACGTCATGGTTTTCACAGAAACATGGCTACACAGCGACGTACCCAATAATGCTATTGAGCTAGCCGGACGCTACACGCTCCGGGCAGATAGGACGGCAGATGACTCCGGCAAGACCAGAGGCGGAGGATTGTGCATTTATGTTAACAAAGCTTGGTGTACGAACTCTGTCATTGTTGGGAAACACTGCTCAGCTAACCTAGAGTTTCTCACGGTTAAGTGTAGACCTTTTTATCTGCCACGGGAGTTCACTTCCACCATTATAACTGCAGCCTATATTCCACCGGATGCTAATGCCAAGCTTGCTATGAACGAACTGCATGCGGCCATTAGTAAACAACAGACCGCTCACCCGGAGGCTCCATTTATTGTCGCGGGTGATTTTAATCACTCCAACTTAAAGACAGTGCTCCCCAAATTTCATCAGCACTGGTATGGGAACTGCTCAGTTGCCGAGCGCAAGGCACTGCAGAGGGTGGTGAAAACCGCCTAACGCATCACAGGGACACCACTTCCTGCTATTGAGGACATCCAGAGGAAACGCTGTCTACGTCGAGCTCGCAGCATTCTTAAGGACTCCTTTCACCCTGACCATAGACTGTTTAACCTCCTGCCCTCCGGGAGGCGCTTCAGGAGCCTCCGGACAAGGATCAGCAGACTTAGGAACAGCTTTTTGCCTACAGCTGTCTCCTTACTGAATTCTGCCCGCTGATAGTATTTAAAAAATCTGTAAATTATGTCCATAGTACTGCCTTATCTGTATATTTATTGTACATTTGTAACATATTGTAGACACTGTATATCCTGTACTTACTGCTTATTGCACTTCTGGTTAGATGCTAACTGCATTTCGTTGCTTTGTACCTTACATGTGCAATGACAATAAAGTTGAATCTAATCTAATCTAATCTTATTAGGGCTGGTAAGCGATTAAAAATTTTAATCTAATGAATTACATGATGTGGCAATTAATTAACCGAATTAATCGCAAATTAATCGCACATCAAATTTGGCTGAGAAATTACTCCTAAAAGATAATTTAAAGTCATTGTTGTGTAAAGCATCAAACAGACATTACAAAAAGTAGCTTCAGCAAGAAATATTTTGTTTGAAAAAATGTATTACATGTACTCTTTTGGACCGTGAGGGTGAGTAAATGATGACACAAATGTCATTTTTGGGTGGGTGAATTATAAGTTTAATAATTGATTTGATTAATTTGATTATTATTACTATGTAAATATGAAATCATTTCTTTAATGAAATTATACTCTTAATAATAAACTAAAACTGCCAGTAGGTGGTGGTATATGTATTAATGATTAAGTAATCGAGTCATTTATTCATTCATTTGATTCGTTCAAATGGCTGATTCATTCAAGAGTGAAGTAAATGGTTCTTTATGAATGGTCAATTGAATCATTAGGCTTGTTCGACTTGAAGCGGATCATCACCATCAGATCGATCAGTGTGGGACATCAAATTACTTCAAGAGCTATAGAGAGCAGACGGCTCCTTATGCTTTTGAATCACTCTCGCTGTACTTTGATGTCAATACTCAGTCAATCGGACTGTGGAGCGCCGTTTCAAATCCAACGCGCCTATGGCCACTGGTTCAATGCGCCGAATGGTTCACCCAATTTGTTCAAAACGTGCATTAAGAAATACAATTTCTTGTGTTGCTTGGAGATGAACAGTTCTGCTTTGTCTTTATATTTTTGTTGGCAAAATTAAGCAAAACATAACACAATATTAACTTCTTACTTACTGAACTGTTGTATAAGATCAGTATTACATTTGCACTGGTGTGATATTGCACTTAGCCTATTGCTCGTGTGATATTGCTTAACTATATGATGTAAATATGAGACAAAAACTCAAAACGGGCATTTTTTTGCCCCATATTTTGAATTTTAGGGACATTCTAACTACGTTCTCTAGGCTCCATCATGCAGTGAGTTGTTGCCCTCATGCCCTGCCTCATATTTGTCATCAATCAACTGTATGAAATGTCAGATGACCCACGTAGGTCTGGGGCGGGGGGCAAGTGTGTTAAATGCGTTAATAATTTTAACACGTTATTTTTCACCGTAATTAATTAATCTAATTAACGCGTTAAATTACCAGCCCTAATTCTTAGATTTTATATTATATATATAAATATATTTAATATATAAACATAACATATTTTTCTTAAATACATACATGAATGTGTACACACATATATTATGTAAAAAAAGTTTTATTTTGGATGCGATTAATCGTGATTAATTGTTTGACAGCACTAATATATTTATATAACATATAAACATATTCAAAGGGTTAGTTCACCCAAAAATTAAGAAAACCGTAGGACGTCGGTGTTGCGTGATTATTTATTTATTTTTAATTACTGTTGCGTAATTGGTGATGAACGCCGAGAGAGAACAAATCAAAACGCAGGTCGTGTATCAGAAGTACAAACCGAGGATTTGTAAAGAAAAATGTTGAAGCATTTCGATATAAGCCAAGAGGAGACTGGTTTTCCTTTGCTAACGTAAGGAAACTTTGCTTCCTTTGCTCCTGTAAACAAACTCACGAGACTAGCATATCTCAGAGGCATGCATGCCACGTATACGTCCTACGTCATCCGCCTGGAACGGCTTCCGCGTACGGCAGATACCGGAAGTGAGAGAAAACTGTTTATTATGTTTGAAATATGGGTACTTTTCTTACGAAAACGCATGGGTTCGCTACAGGAGGTCTCTATTCATGCCCCGGAGCCATGTGAGGCACGTTTTATTATGGATGCGCTCCCTTTATTTGACGCTTTATTTTATAACACCCGCTGACTGCAATGATAACGCTTGGAATAGCCAGGACAATTTTTTACATAACTCCGATATGATTCGTCTGAAAGAAGAAAGTCATATACAACTTGGATGCCTCGAGGGTGAGTAAAACACAGGCTAATTTTCATTTTTGGGTGAACTAACCCTTTAATATATAAACATAACTTATTTTTCTTAAATATACATGCATGTGTGTGTATTTATAATAAATATACACAGTACACACACATATATTATGTAAACAAAAACTTTTATTTTGGATGCGATTAATCGTTTGACAGCACTAAAATATATACATATAAATATTTTCTAAATATATACTGTATGTGTGTGTATTTATATATACATAATAAATATACACAGCACACATTATATACACAAAAAATTTGATGTTATTAATCGTGATTAATCCTTGCCCAGCACGAAATTCAATGCATGAAATTCAAATAAATGTGGTTTTGGCGCACTTTAATATGGCTTGGCAGGTCATTGTAGCCACCTCAGTTCAAGAGTCTCTTGAGGGTGACTCTTTCTCTTTACTACTAGTTACGGCACACAGTTGACATGAATGAATATCAGAAGGTATGTTGAAAGTAGGGGTGTCCCCGACTAAGGATTTACATAGTTGAATCGGAATTTTTGAATCTTGCCGATAGTCGACTGATAGTCGAATCATATGTTTGGGGGCGGTGGCAAAATAAATTACCAAGAGTCAAGTCAGACATTCGACAGTCATAGTTACTGACCTTAACACACAGGGAAAATGTGTAACGGATGTCTCGCAGATAGCCTACAAAAATAATGTTTTATGTTTTAATTAAAAGATAGTTAACATTAAACATCAGCGAAACCCTAAGAATTCACAACATTTTTTTTACAATAGTGCTCTCATTATAACGTTATGTAGCCTATATGACAGTTATTAATGTTCTGCATTTCTGTTTTGAGCTGCACGCACTGAAGATGACCAGTAGAAGTAAGCATTTGATGGCAGGTTTTTAATCAATGGGATATAACTCATCATTTATCTCATATAGAATACACTTCGTTATTTATACAACATGACATTAATATTACGACTTATAGTGGCTCTGAATGAACTCCTTTTGTGGACGCGTTCTTCACGCAACAACGTGCAGAAACACGGCAACTGAACTCTAAAAATCCACAGCGTTTTATTATAATAGTGTTTTCATTATGTTATGTACAGTATATGACAGTCCCAATCATAGTTAATAATATTCTGCATTGTTGTTTGTCCTGCTCGCGCTGCGCACAGAAAAGCGAATCACCGTACAATGAAGTGCTTTACTGCAGCGTAACTCAACCAAATGCATCTTATACGAGATAAATAACATATACGCGATATAAACCGGATGAAATGTTTTGAAATCACTTACCCTACCTGGTCGAAAAAATCCAGTCATTCACTCTGCCTGTGTCAATTTGAGTCTTGTTAAAGTTTTAAATCCCTGCCACCAAGATGCTCCTCTGTCAGTCACAGATTATGAAACGTGAAACTTAAATCTATAAGGGTGGTTGGATTTATTCATGCACGTTAAAATATTTATTTAAAACTTTTTTTTTCAGATTCTTATTTACAGCATTATCTTAATAGGCTGTATATTAACTTATTGGGAGAAAACCAGTAGTTCTATGTGAAATCAGACATTCAGCACCCCCATATAGCCAAAATGGCATGATCATAACACCCCGCGAATATTCGACTGTGAGATTAGTAGTCGAATCAGGCTCCTCCTATCGAAGCATCGAATCGTCGACTATTTGGGGTCACCCCTAGTTGAAAGAAACAGTATACCTTGCTGAAATGCATCATGTCTCATGTGATCGCTCGGTGTTTCAATGCCGGGAAGATGTCAATAAAACAGCTTGTAAACAACATGTCACATAACTTTAAATATTCTCAAGAAAGCCAATCAATATCTATAGCTCATTAGTCAGCAAGGAAAACTAACTCTGGAGAGGAGCATTTAGATAAATATGAGCACTATATTACATTGTTATCATATTTTTACTTGAAATTCATTATTTAATATATGTTTGAATAAATATATTTCAACAACGATTTGAAATAAAAACTATGGAAACTTGTTACCGCCACTGAATAAATATAAAAAAGGTAATTGTGACTTTCTCAGATTTCTGGCCTCTTTTTTTTTTTTTTTTTTTCAAATGGCGTGGTATAAAGTCGCAAAGTTTATATCTCACAATTCTGACTTAATTGTGAGTTATAAAATCAGAATTGTAATATATAAACTTGCTATGTTAAGAAAATCGTCTTTTTTCCCTCAGAATTTGACTTTTTACAATTGCAGGTTTATCTTTTAATTCTGAGAAAAAAAAGTCTTTGTCACGCAATTGTTAGTTTATATCACACAATTCTGAGAAATAATCAGAACTGTGAAATAAAAAGTCACAATTACCATTTTAAAATGTTTATTTAGTGGTGGAAACAGGCTTCCATAAACACTTGTATCACTAAAAAGATGTTTATATACAAATGTTTTTATTTGATTGTTGTTAAATCAATCTGATAGATTACTAGATTATAGATTATTTTCAATTTCGATTGTGGCTAAATGTATGGTTTTAGTATAAAATCATGTTGGCCATCATTAATTAATGCTAATTAATGCATACATTTCTGTTTATTTTAAATTAGTTCATTATTGTATATTAGTTAGTTATCAGGTAAAATAACTTTTTAGTTCTGTTTTACCTGAAAATTGACCAGAAAGTGGAATTTCAAAATACTTGAGATATGGGCTTCTTTAGATTATGGTCTAATAAGACCTGACTATCCTGCAGCTGGTGTTGCCAATTATCGCAAAAACCAATGATGAAAATGAGATCAGAAAATTATGACACATCTCAAACATAACTCTCACCTGCTTGCTTGACTTTTGCGGCTCGGTTCTCTCTTCGTGGCGATGGCTGTGGAAGTGCTGAGAGTGCGTCGAATTCCTTATTAAAACAAACACAAACATCCACTGAAAAGTGACCAAATATCTAAAAATCTACAGTTTTATATGAAAAAGGAATGTCTAAACTGTCTTCAGACTTAAAAGCTTTGACAGAGGAGAGGGAATCAGACAGCAGACAACGGAATGGCTCACCTGTGAAGGAATAGTTCATCCGAGACGAGGACAGCTCTGACAGACAGTCCACTGAGCCATGAATCCTGCTAGTTAAAACAAAGTGAATGTTCAGTATTACTTCTTCCACAGCACTTTAAAACTGATGCTCTGCCAGAAAACTGTCAAGACACATTATTTTACCCTTGCGTATACTCTGTTAGCTGTCAAACAACAAATTTATCACTTCAAAATAGTGACAGTCACATGGGTTTATTTTGACAAATGCTTGTCAAAATTGTCATAAACAATTTGGCATGAAAATATGTAGCAGGAACAAAATCACAAACCTATACACGTTAGGACAGAAAAAAGCCCCAGAATGATTCTCCAATGGACAGGTAAAATCTTTGAAATGAACATCTTTGAAGTAAACATGAAATGGCACTCAAAACCAATTTTACTTCCATAATGTGATGTTTTTCAGAGTGAAATAAACTATTGGGAACTGACTGGGTCGTGAATCATGATTGTTCCATACCAGAACACAGGGTTACCACTCTTTCATGAACACCAGATTCAAGGACTTTCAAGGACTTTTTAAAGCACCATTTATTTTATATCAAGCACCTATCAAATTCACACCCCAGCATAT